TAACAGATACTTCTCATGTAAAGAAATAGGAAAGCAATTCCTCACATATAACTCTGAAAATCAGTAAAGGTTTACATTCATAGTTCAAAGAGGCCAAATATGCCACTCAGAAATTCCTTCTTTACAGCTGAGTTTTTCACAGGTGGTATCTGTCAAGGTCAAAAGAGTTTTTTCTAGAGTCTGGGCTTCAAGCCAAATCTCTTTTAGGCAATAACAAGTTGTAATACCATACTTTACCACAAGATGTCACCGATGCCATTTAAAGCTTTTTAAGTCCAAAGTTTTTATGATAGTTTTTCAAGGTTTTTTTTTTTTTAGATTAAAAACAAATGTCTCCAGTAAGAATAGGAAAACTTTTAGTCCCCAAGTTTCAAAAGCATATGCATCCAATTAGATTAGAATTGTTTTTATAGTTGCTCTGTTTCCCTTGGGTAGTTAGTCGCCGCTGTTCTTAGAGGGTGGGGTAGAAATTCTCTTTCCCTTCTCCTCACAGGGGGAAAAATACTTTGGGCAGCTTTTACAGGAAAAGATATTTAAAGTCTTAAAGAGAAGATCAGATCTCACCCAGTTTCATCTGCATTGCTTTAAAGATGCTTGGTGGTGATTTTGACTTCGACTGTCAGCAGCTTAGTGACAAGCCATATTGCTATGGCCACTCTTTCCCCCACCGGTCTGAAGGACTGCCCTGAATCAAGCGGAAGGCCTGCTGCCTACAGGGTGACTTTCGACCCTTTCCAGAGTCCCCCAGCGGGACAAATTTGGACGCGAAAGACGGAGCTCGTCTTCCAGCGTCTGCGGAACCACGATGGCCAACCGGAAGTTCAGGTCCATGCCATTTTCCATGCCTTTTTCCTAAATATTTTCCATGCCTTTTTTCTTTTTCTTTTTTTAGAATTTTATTAAAGTTTATTATAATATAAAATACAAATTTTAAAAAAGATTATAAAGGAATAGAAAAAGTAAAAGAAGGGAAAGGAAGCAAGGTTAAAAAGAAAAGAAAAAAAAAAGCCCAATGACTTCTGACTTTTTTCAGTGCAAGAGAATAGAAAATACAGTTGCAACCAAAACCTTTTGCTTTCCATATTTACTATTAGCCCTTTCTATAACACAGTTAACCTAATAATCAAAGTTTCATTTTTTTTCTGTTTAAGCATAAAGTTCAGAAGCAGTTTCCAAGTGAAAACAAACTGGATATAATCTTTTGTTTAAATAAAGCAGCTGATACAAATAGACATTCAGCTATTCCTTTTACATTCATTTAATATACTTGTATAATTAAGCTGCTGTCATACCAAATAGTAGCTTACTTGCTCTTTGAACATAATTGAACATAATTATTTTTCACTACAGAATGCTTACTTCAAAATTTGAAGTTTTTTCAATTAAAAAAATGGAAGTATGCCAGGTGAATATTAAATAAAACATATAAAATAATATTTTCGAGCCATTGGATTACAGTTCTGTGATCACATATTGTTTTTGATAATAAAGAGTCTTTCTTCTGGACCTGATGTTCCAGGCATAAGAAGAAAAATTAGTCAGCCTGATGTGATTAGCAACTGAAATATTACTTTCACTGAAATGATTAAATAGTTGGACCCCTTTCTCTTCAATTTTATATCTCAGCCTTTTTAACACAAACACATGATAAAATTACTACATCAAAGGACTAGAAACATGTTTCAGCCTATCCATATTTTTTAGTTATATTAATTTTTTTAACCTCAGGCCAAGAACATTCACTATTTTCCACTGTGGGAGACTTGGCTTCTTCGTTTGTTTTCCAAAAATATACATGAGATAAACCTCTTCCATAAAAACCCTTAACTTATTCCATAAAAGGTTTGAAACAAATAATCAACATCTGTTTTCTTTGCGCAATAAAACTATTTTCCTCCTGGGAAATTTATGCCTTAGTTGATAATCTACTTTTAGTATAATGTCATTTGTTTTTCACACTTTCAGAAGTACTTTATTAAACATATTGAGCTGCCCATGATCAAATTATGACTTGGTGCTTCAAAATATTATTGATAATTGACAGCCATTATTGTGATTTAAAATAGTTCTTTATCCTTCAAATACATAAAGGATCCTTTCTATCAAAAAAGGTGAGAGAAATTGCATACTGCCTTGTTGCAACCCACTTTATATGCTAAACTGCAATGTCACAAAACTTTAATATGAACAATATATGTGAAAATATTGGTAAATTTTTCATACCAAGAGCTTCAGTATCAAATGGTAAAACAGCAACTGCATTTTGAATGCTATTCTGTCCTACAGTATGTGTAGGACAGAATACCATTCAAAATACAATATGTGTGGCACAATTAATTACAATCATATGCCTTCTGATTTTCCATTTGCATCCCCTTTCTTCACATTTCAAGAACTGTTATCATTATCAAAGCAAAAGTCTAATTTTCTCACACTGGTCATTGTGAGAAAGAGATGATTTGTCATTATTTTGCAGATTTCCCTAGGAATCCACTAAGTCATTGTTTTAACATTTATGCCTGTCTGGTCTAAACAAAGGCATTTAGCCACAGATAATTTTATGTCCTTTTAATTTTAAGCGTCAACTATCAAGCAAATTTAGATTTGCTCAGCATTTCAAGTGTTTCAGAACATACTATAGGTGCAATTCCAAAACAGTAATATCACATTTTGCTTAAGCAATTTATGGTAGGTGCAAAATATTTTGCTATCCGTTTGGAACTGGCCTCTAACTCTACCCCCTCGACCCTTTGAATGACTGCTAGTTAATTTTGGAAGAGGCAGTTTTTATATGGTATGAATACACAACTTGGTGGTGTGTTGTTGCAAGCTATCTCCATGGAGAAGACATCTCACCTATTTCATTCCTACTTTTTGCAATTTTGATATTTTGCAAGCAGAGGGCAGGAACCAAAGGACAGAAGGAAAAGGGCTTCTTTTGAGAGGTTGCAGAGTAACATAGAACTTTTAGCTCTTTGCAAGGAGTCACCTCCAAACTCTCTGCATGGTAGGAGAATGGGGAGCCGTTTCCCAGATCAGGTATATAGTTTTCCACATTTGTGATACTGCTTATAACCTCAGTTTTAATCCAGAAGGAGGCTTAAAACAAAAAGATTTTATAAAACTCAGCTGAAGGCCTAGGACTGGGGTGACGGCACGCATGCCCAGAGAGGGCTCTGAGTGCCGCCTCTGGCACCCGTGCCATAGGTTTGCCACCACGGATCTAAGTCATTAATAAAGATATTAAAGAGTACTGGACCTAAGATGGAGCCTTGTGGTACCCCACTGCTTACTTCTCCATGTGGATGTAGTACCATTGAGGACTACTCGCTGAGTATGGTTTGTCAGCCAGCTACAGATCCATCTGATGGTGTTGTCATCTATCCCACCTTTTTCTAGCTTACTAAGCAGCAGGTTGTGGTCTACTTTGTCAAATGCCTTACTGAAATCTATTAACCAGTCTCTGCAGACATTTTAAAGTTAATATTATAAACTTTATTAAATGTGTATTTTTGTATTACTTTATCCTCATTAACAGTTGAATAATGAATAAAGTCAGCCTTATCTTTATGGTACAATTGTGGCTATAAAACTGATAGAGATAAATAGTAATTACTACTTTGAACTGTTAACAAACATCACTTCAGTTAGGCAGCTCCCTATTTGGAGAAATACTTTGAAAATGCACCAGAAATGGCCTTTCATAAATAATTGAGTCCATTAAAGGTCTTCACTTAAGCTTTCTAATTTTTGTTTACAACTTTTGAGAGAGCATATTCATATTTTGCAGAATGGACTGGTGACGCATGCATCAAACAATAAATGCTCAATAGTAGAAATATACTATCCTCCAGAAATTCTACCCCAAACCCAATTGAAATCTTACCCCTCTCCTCGCCTCCCAACCATAAAATTGACTTTATATTTAAACTGTAATATAGAAACTGTAATATAAAACATTAAAAACTCCTGACTTCTTGGCCTCTCTTCTCCAAAACAAATAAAAATCCCCCAAACCATCTTTACCGATTTTACATTAAATATATCTCCTAGATACTTTGGTTCTCTCCGCTCGTCCCCTTTACATCAAACAGGTAAGAGACCAGTCCTATTAAAATCACCGCTGTACTTTATTCTAGCTCAGTGACATAAAAAAGATGCCACCTCCTTGAGTTCAAGCCGCCGTGAAGCAGTTTGAGCAGACGTATGTTGCAATCAAGAGGCGGGGCTGAAGTCTCTGGACAACAGCTACCAATCACAACACGCACAAAAGAGCCGGACCGTACCATTTAAGCAAGAAGAAAAAGGGAAGGGGGAATGGGTTACCTCGACCTGCCCCTTCCACCCTCAGCGACAGAGTCCTGCTGTAACAATGGCACCATTTTTTACTTTCAGTATTCATGCTGCTTCGTCTTGCTGGGAAATCCTTCTAAGGTCCAGCAGCCAAAGTATGTAGAGTAAAGGGTGCATCACGAGGAGGCTAATGTACATTGCACCCCAAAATATATTGTATTTTGCTACGTTATACGAAATAAATGATGCAATAGGACTTTTGGATTATTATGTGAGGAAGGTACAACTAAGCACCGAGAACTTCCACTTTATTTGCCTCGAATCACCTGGTGGGAAAAAAAGGCATTCCGTCCATCGGTGGCGTTCCAAGCAGATCTGAATCGCGCCCCCCCCCCTCTTCCCGGTGCCTCCATCTCTAGTTACTGCGGCTAGTGCGACTCTCGAGAGGTTGCCACAAAGAGAAGGGGGTCAACTTATTTTCCAAAGCACCAGAGGGCAGGACAAGAAGCAATGGGTGGAAACTGACCAAAGAGAGAAGCAACCTGGAATTAAGGAGAAACTTCCTAATAGTGAGGACAATTAACCAGTGGAACGGCTTGCCTTCAGAAATCGTGGGCAAATCACTGGAGGTTTTTAAGAAGAGACTAGACAGTCACTTGTCTGAAATGGTATAGGTTCTCCTGCTCGAGCAGGGGGCTGGACTAGAAGACCTCCAAAGGTCCCTTCTAGCTCTATTCTGAGTAGAAGAAGCTGACCACAGGAAGTGGAGCCTAACTGCTGAAAAGCTCGCCGAGAGCTTCGATTTGTGCAGAGAGGAGGCGCCGCCCTGCGTCAGCCGAGGCAAGGCGGGATTTGTAACACTCCCTCGGCCCGCCTTAGCGGCCAAGGCGCGAGAAAGTCACCGTTGCCGGCAGCATTGGACCTAGGTTCCCGCAGGCTGCAGTGCCCTCCCAAAAAGAGTCGGGCCTTGTCGGGCGCAGAAAAGACCCTGTATTGAAATCCAGGCTACACCAGTCGTGCCGGAGAAAGGTGGACGGAATGAACCTTCGGCGGGAGCCCAGCCGGGCACATTGGCGCGAGTCGAGAGGGATGGCCCGCCACAGCACGACTCTGCATCTCGTGGCAGGCGGGTGAGTAAGCACAGGGAGCGTCAGAGCACGGCCCGTCGCGGAGATCATGCACGTGTGGATCCGAAGCGCGGGTTGTTGGCTCAGCGGCATTTCTGCAGCAGAGGGCTGGGCCGGCCAGAGCAGCGTGTTCGGGCCGAGGCAGGCCAGAGCACGTGCTTTCTAACTAGGTGACCCGTGAAGTCCCGGGCATCTCTTAATAAGAATGGCGCGGGTTCTGAACACCACTGTTAAATATTGCCAAAGCTGTGTGTCGCTGTGAACCAGTGACGTATGTATTTTAATAACGGTGAGAAAGTTGCACCAACTTTCGCCAGGTTATGCTAACTAGAGGTATTTTCTCTTGGATAGTGTGCAAGTAGGTTCAGGATCAGTTGCTTTTTTTAGCCAGAGGTATCCTTTTTCATCCTGCTCTCCCAGCCGCATTTGGAGAAACAGACCCGGATATACTCTGAACACGTGGGCAACTTTTCAAGTACCCACCCCTTTCCCACTACTATTGAAATCAATAAAACAAATTTATTTTGCCCAGTTTGAAAAAGGTTTAAAACTACACCAGTGATGTGGGTGTGATTAAAGTCTAGACACGATTGGCTATGAAGTCAGTATACCCCTCCCCTGTGCTTTCCATGACTCCCCCGTGTTAACCTGTTCTTAGCTTCCTGAAAGCAGTCGTTGGCAGGCAGCTCTGGCAGTTCTTCAGAGCTGTTGATTTTTTATTTAGAGATATAGAAATGCTGGGAATTGCCCTGAGGTTCAGGAAAAGCTCGCCTAAGGCATCGGAACCAGAAAGAAGGATGAGTTTCAGGTCAATGCAACTCGTTGGAGGAGATAGCTTTTCCTTTGAATATTTCCTTTCGTTTTGCAGCATTGCTTAGAGCAGGGGTAGGCAGCTGTGCTGGCTCAGGAATTCTGGGAGTTGAAGTCCACGAGTCAAAAGAGCCAAAGTTGCCTACCCCTAGCTTAGAGCAATGCAATAAACAATGAAAAGTAAGCTGTGAATGCTGTAAAAATGCTGAAAAAGAGAAGTAAATGCATATCTGGAGAAATGTTAAAATATGGGGTAGTGTGTTGATGGAGAAGTTGACATGCTTAATATGTGTGTGGAAATTGCATCTGCTTGAGGATGAGAAAAATGACATTTTATCCCCTAGAATTAGATCAGTATTTTTCAACTTAGACAACTTTAAGTTTGTGGAATCTATTCTCAGAATTCTGGGAGTTGAAGCCCCCTCATGGCTTAACAGTGAATATTAATTGCCATTCTTTGCAGGCTGAGTTCCCAGTATGACTGCTAGAAAGTCTGTAGCAGTGAATCACACTGTTCCAGTTTTCAAGCCACTGTTCCAGTCTGCTCTTCTGATCCACCATATTTCTCAGGGATTGGCAATTAATTTTCCCAAGGGGCCCTATAAAAACTGGGAGTGTTGGGAAGTCTGCTGCCTGCCCCCATACCTGCCCACCCCCTGCTTCTGCCACCCACCTCCACAGGCCAAATGTAGCCCATGGTCTAATATTTCTGCTATTCTGGGGACAACATCCCTATTAAAGCTATCATGAGGACTGGAAAGATTCAATCCCCAAAGATGAGTTACCAACTTTTAGCAGTAAAAAACCAAACATAAACAGAGGGAACTCCTTGATAGCTTATTCATGTTTTCTGTCATCTTCTCAATAAATTTGCCATTTGAGCAGAGGAAAGAGGTGTGAGTAGGAAGAATAAAAAAAAATAATTTCAGCACTTTTAAGCAAAGAGTCCTCTAAATACATATAATATTTTTCTGCTATAGAAATTACTCTGTCTAGTAGAAACTGTTACCATGGTGCCTATACTCACGTGCTACTATTTCTATTCTCTTTGCAATAAAAATAATATTGGCCTGCATGACTGTGGTTCCCTAGTCTGATCTACCTTGACAAGCTGAGTGGGTTGTTGCTTTACAATTAGTTCCTTTTACGCACTTATCAAGCTCTACTTCTTGTATTCCAGTTCTGCGACCACATTTATTTTGCATTTGGACTGCACAAATCCCGACAATAGCTAGGTGGCATCCAAGAGACATAGGAAACACTCATTCTTTGCAGTCATGTAGGTTGGATAGGCAAATTAACCTTTGGCAAAATATTGGGGAGGGGGGAATTGGATGGAACTTTTTGGCATAGCCCAACACATGTTCCAAGTGGCAATTAATGGCAGCTTTTCCTGTGGCTGATGACATTGGGCAGGACTGGAATTATTGTCACTTTCCTTTGTGTCATGCAATTCAGGTGGTCTTTGACTCACAACCTCAATTGGGATGAGAATTTTTTTCACTAAGTGAGGTGGTTGTTAGGTGAGTGACATCCAATTTTGATATTTTTTTCCCATGGTCATTAAAAAAATCCTGTGGTCATTAAGCAAATCCAGTTTCCCCCATTGACATTGCTTGTCAGAAGCTGGCTGAGAAGATTGCAAGCGGTGATTACGTGAATCACCGAACCATGCATGTTGGTTACCAAGTGCCTGAATTTTGATCACATGACCACGGAGATGCTGCTATGGTCATAAGTGCAAGGACCTATCATAAATCACTTTTTTTCAGCACTATTATAGCTTTAGACAGTCACTATACAAATGATGGCAAGTCGACAACTACCTATACAGCTATATGGAAAGTAGCACAGCAGAGCTCTACTGTGAATGCATATTAAGAGCACACTGTGGGAGAAGAATGATTTACACTGAAATTGTTTCCTACAGCCCTGGAGAAGGAAGCATGGCAAAGAGATTGTGTGGCAGAGTCCATGAGTTTCATTTCTTCACTAATACCAGTAGTTGATTATACCTCTATTGAAAAGCTGCACTGGTGTCTTGCTGTGCGCTGGCTGATATCAGAAAAAAACAGTTCAGTACTGCATAATTAAGTATAATTTCTCAATATAGCTTCCCATTATACTGAGGAAAAGAACAAAGAATTCTGTGAAACTTTATGGACTAATTAAGATGCTGTAGAATTCCTTCCATGGAAGTATTTAATCAGACACTATTGTAGATTCCATAGTAGTAGATTTCTGCACTAGATAGGGTAGGACTAGATGATCTTTAAGGTCTCTTCCAACTCTTAACTTTAAATGATTTCTTGATGGTTTTGATGGTTTGGTATAGTATTTAATATACTATAACTGCTCCTCTAGTACTTGGCACTGAATTGTATTTTTGATGTTCATATTGTGCTACAATGCTGGTCAACATTAATTGAGGTGCTTTTGAGCAATTTACATTAGAGGTAGTCCTCGACTTATGACCATAATTGAGACTAAAATTTCTGTTGTTAAGTGAATTTTGCCCCGTTTTACGACTTTTCTTGCCATACTTGTTAAGTGAATTACTATAGTTGTTAAGTGACTAACACAGATATTAAGTAAATCTGGCTTCCCCATTGTCTTTGCTTGTCAGAAGATTGCAAAAGGTGATCACATGACCCCGGGACAGTGCAACCGTCATAAAATGTGAGTCATTTGCCCAAGCATCTGAATTTTGATCATGTGACCATGGAGATGCTACAATGGTCATAAATATGAAACACAGTCATAAGTCACTATTTTCAGTGCTGTTGTAACTTTGAATGGTCTCTAAGTGAACTGTTGTAAGCCGAGGATTATCTTTATTACGAATTTTAAAAAGGTTTCCCCAGGATGAAGTGTTTTCTCTCCATTCCTCATCTTTCCACAGGATGCCAGGTTGATTTTTCTGTTATCTGGCTTAGAGCTACCTTTTGGACTTGACGCAATCTCTGTCCCAACTGCTGCCTTGTGCAAGATTCATTGTTGATGACCCTGGAAGTCAGCCCGCAGCTTTTTGCCTTACAGTGTGATATTAAAAAGAAAAGAGCCTGTTGGCACCTAACAGCAGTTAGGATCTTGTGCAACCAAAAATAATGTGAAAAAATATTTTTTTTTCACATGCTGCTAGTACATATGTACAGAGGTGTACAATGCCAAACTTGTGAACTGAATCCTTCTTAAAGTCCTTGGATCAAAGCAGGGCCCCTGGGGTCTCTTTAGATTCACTACGTATCAAATGGTAACATCACAATCGGTCCCGGTGAGTTATGCCGCTGTTGACCCTTTTGTCCTAAACCCTCTTGTCTAGTCTTCCTTGTTTCATTCTGCCTATGGAAGTGCATGTTCTCAGGTGATACATTAGAAAAAGAACATAACTAATTTGCCATTTTATGACTGCAGGCTTTCCTTTTATGAAGGGCATGCTTTCTCTCTTGCCTTTTGTTGCCTTCGCTAGGCCTTCAGTGAGCTTTTCCCTGTCCCTTTTTTATATCCTCATCTCATCTACATGCATTCCCTCCCTCCTGAAAAGGGAGATTCAAGCTTAGATTCAATATTCTTCAGTCCGATAGGTCAGTGGTCCCCATCCCCTGGTCCGTGGACTGATACTGGGCTGCGACATGCCAGCAACAGCACAAAGAAGCAAAGAAGCAAAGCCCCATCTGTGGGATGCAGGCAGCACACAAAACCATGCACCCTCCGGTCCATGGAAAAACTTTTCTCCACAGAATTGGCCCCTGGTGCCCAAAAGGTTGGGGACCTCTGCAATAGGTTATTCTACCTCTTTGACTGCATCAGTGTCGTTAGTTTTGATTCAGTGATTGACCACTCATTCCTTATTCACTAACAATGAGGGGGAATAGCAAAAAAAAAGTGTAGTCCAGATTTCATTCCATGTGACTACATTTTCTTGCCATTCCCTTTTCTCTTTGGAGCCAGCTTGGCTGAGGCCAGCTTAATGGAGGCTGATCCTATCACTGCTGTTCCTTCTTCCTGCCATTCTTCTGCTAGTATGGGGGCAGATGACAAAAAAGGGAGGAGAGGAGGGTTAGAGAGTCAGCAAGAGTCCCCATCCTGCCAGAGATGTTAGCATTAGCAAGTTTTGCCTTAGAGCAGGGGTAGGCAACCTTGGCTCTTTTATGACTCGTGGACTTCAACTCCCAGAATTCCTGAGCCAGCATGGGACAGCTTGGAAACCTCTCCATTTCTCCTCAGCATGGCTGGCTCAGGAATTCTGGGAGTTTAAGTCCACGAGTCATAAAAGAGCCAAGGTTGCCTACCCCTGTCTTAGAGTGTTAAAAAAATATCCAGCAATTATGGAAATCCAAATTATAGTCAAGTAGAAAAAGAGTTGTACAAAGGCACCAAAAAGTGGTTTCTAAACCTGAATTTTTCATAAACATGGGCAGATGAATATAAACCTATCCAATTGCTAGTCAGCAAGGCTTTTTCTTAGAATATTTTTGCAACCAGCAAATCACAAGATGAAGTTGAGTGTTATGATTAAGAAGCTGGACTAGAAACTGAGATATTATGAATTCTAGTTTTACTCTGGGCATGAAACAGAGCTGTCTCTCATTCCAGCTTACATCACAGGGTTGTTATTGTTGTGCAAAAAATAAGAGGAAGAACCATTCTGTATGTCATATTGAATTGCATAGGATAAAGTTGGGATATAAATATACATATATAAGATAGCAAAAGCTGCATCATTGCCATCAATTGCTCCATCAATTCCATAGTGCGTATGTACATAGTACATATGGCCAAAGATTGAACAAAAAGATTATTTATTGGACTACTACCGGTTATGGCTTTCCCTTCTTATTTACTGGGGTAAAGAACAGTTGCCAAAGTGCATAGCAGTAGAAATCCTGCAAGCTATGGCAAGACATGCAGGCATCAAAATAAAGCTTGTTGAGCAATTTCTAGATGCAAAGTTCACGAGTTTGAGTCTTCCCCCTCCTTCCCCCCTTTTTGGCATCTGCTTGGAAACATAGAGCCAAGACGTCAGCATGTTAATCAACTGCAAATCTGGAAGCTGACGCATATTAATATAGCAGAGCAGTCCATGGAGAAAATAAAAAGATGAGAGATGAAAATGGTGAGAGCTGCTTGTCAGTCCGGCTGGACAGAGTCACGCATATTCCTACTTTCCCAATCAGTTTTCTTTTAATTATCATTCGTAACTGAAAGAAGCTTCTGATACGATCTCTTCAAAGAATAAGGTGCTTTAAATATAGATACATTAATTCATTTTGTAGGCAGAATAAAATGAGGGAATCTTGATGCTTTTTCTCTTATCTTCATCTCAAATTATCTTTGGTAACCAAAGTTTATTGTTCTTTTGGGTAATACACCAAACAACGAATGACTAAATTTTCTACTGGACATAACAGATAGCAGGTATATTTTTGTCCCTAAATATATGCTGAATGAAAAGTCCCAGCCCATTTTGACAATTTTTTGGGGGGTGTAATACTGCATTGAAGACTGTCTTTCCCCCTGGATTGGTAAATCGCGTTGATTGTGCATTTTTTTCCTGTACTCCCACAGGTTAGGTGGAACAGTAGGAGCCATTTTGACTTGCCCTTTGGAAGTGGTGAAGACCCGCCTACAGTCCTCCACCTTGACCCCAAGGCCTGTATGCCTACCTGCAGTGCAGTTGCAAGGAGTGAATGGAACATTTGTCCGCCCAGGACTCCCCAGAATTGGCTTCCTTGAACTACTAAGGTGAACGATGTGGGAGAACAGATCTGGGTTGCATGGGAAGCTTTGCTGATGTTCTCACAAATTTCCAATTCTCCTCTACCCTGAAAAAGAGGACAGGAAGTAATGTGCTCATTCACTCCTTTCTAAACAGAATCATTCTGGAGAAGGAAGGTGTTCGCTCTCTGTTTCGAGGCCTGGGGCCTAATCTTATTGGAGTTGCTCCTTCCAGGTAAGATGGTTTGATGGAACAGTAGTTATCTCTAATGATCCAAGCATAACTTTACAGAGCTCCTCATTGTAAGCACCTATATATCCTCAAGGAGTCCTTTTGATGCATGGCATCAAAGGACTTTAAGAAAGTCCATTCTTTTCTTGATTTGTCATCCAAATTCAGTGTTGCATGGTTTTTGAGATGCAATTTCCCCTTTCTTCCTCTAGGGCCATTTATTTTGCTGCATATTCAGGAGCTAAGGAGAGACTCAACACGGTGTTTATGCCAGAGTCCAAGAAAGTCCACATGATATCTGCAGCCTGTGCAGGTAAATGAATGTCCCAGGCATACAAATGTGGGTTTCTTCTGTCACTAATCATTAAATGCCTTAAGCTTGGTATACATCAACTTTTTCCAACCTTTTTACTCGGGAGGGCACTTTGGAAATAATTTTCAGGTCTTAGGGAACTTTACAATCAGCGTTTTACGTTGCTCCCTTTCACTTTTCTTCATCTGCTTCCTGCAGGCATCACATCCGCCACTTTGACAAATCCTATCTGGTTAGTGAAGACTAGGATGCAACTGGAGCGCAGGTAAAGGCAGTGGGAAATGCACCTGTCCAGGGCCCCATTTGAGACCCCTGCATTGCTGGATCATTTCCGGGCATCATAGAAAACCAGCTTTTAAAACAACTAACTGCAAATGTAAAAGAAAGAAGGGAGACTTGTCAACTGTCATGGCTAATCAGACTACAAATAGAGGTAGTCTTTGACTTACGACCACGATTGCGCCCAACACTTCTGTTGCTACATGAGACAGTTGTTAAGTGAATTTTGCCCCATTTTATAACCTTTCTTGCCACAATCAATAAGTGAATCACTGCAGTGGTTAAGTTAGTAGCACGGTTGTTAAATGAATCTGGCTGCCTCACTGACTTTGGTTGCAGGAAGGTCCCAAAAGGGGATGACACCAGAACGCTGTAACTGTCATCCATGTGCATCAGTTGCCAAGGGTCCAAAGGCTGATCATGTGACCATGGGGAGGCTGCAACAGTGAAAAGCTGTCATAAGCCATTTTTTTCAGTGCCATTATAACTTTGAACAGCCACTAAATGAACTGTTTTAAATGGAGGATTACCAGTAGACTATCCTGCACTTAAGCACAACATTCAGAGTCCAAGGACAGTGATGGCGAATCTTTTAGACACCGAGTGCCCAAAACCCACCCTGCTCTGCCCCTTGCCCCGCCTACTCCACCCTGCCTCCTGTCTCACCCACGCCACCCATGCCCCCAGGGCCACCTACCGCGGCAGATCGCCCAGGCGGCCCTGCAGCACCATGGTGGCCACGCAGTAGATGATGCTGCAGGGCACGGGGGTGGAGTCTTGTACCGGGTGCCATGTCCTTGGCTGCGCTGCTCTGCACGGGCCATGACCAGGGGCAACTCTCCAGGGGGGCTGCTGGTGAGGAGAGGGCCGTGGGGGGAGGCAGGGCTGGGGCGATGGCGCGCATGCCCACAGAGAGGGCTCTGAGTGCCGCCTCTGGCACTCGTGCCATAGGTTCACCACCACTGTCCTAGGAACTCCAGTCTTTTTTTTTAAAAAAAAGTTTCCCTTGAAGTTACAAATAAATGCTTGAATGCCTGGGGCATTTCAGAAGCTCAAGATGTATGCATATTTTGCATGGTTAAAATTTCAGTTCTTGCAGAGTCTTTCTGTGCCTCCTGAGGTCTACATTATGTAAAATAGTAAAAACTGTAGAAATTACCCCATTTTGGTATAGTGGTTAAAGTGGTGTTCAAGTCCTACATTAGCCATGAAAGCCAGCTAGATGACTTTGGGCCAGTCACACTGTCTTAGCCCAATTCACCTCACAAGGATGTTGTGGAGAAAATAGGAGGAAGGAGTATTATGTATGTTCACAACCTTGAATTATTTAGAAAAAATAATTCAGTTGGGATAAAATCTACGTAAATAAATAAAATCTTCAGAAACAGTTTTTTTTTTTTAAAGGTTTGATTTATCTGATTTAAACAGATTGCAGAATGTAGGTTTTTGAATTCAAGTTTTAGCTGCACTTTTAGAATTGAAAAAGCACAGCCAGTGATATTGGCAATATGAAGCAAACTCTTTCCTTCCTCCTTTCAGGGGCAAAAACGAGAGGAGCACCAGTGGCCTTCAGTGTGCCATGCGCGTCTACTACAGAGAAGGTCTGCGTGGCTTTTACCGTGGAGTTACTGCCTCCTATGCTGGTGTCACTGAAACAGTGATCCACTTTGTGCTTTACGAGGCTTTGAAGCAGCGACTCAGGGAACATCAGCTGCTGCTGACTCCAGCAGTTGTCTTATCACCCAACAGCCAAGACTTCTGCGGTCTGATGGCGGCAGCGGCTGTCTCCAAAACATGTGCCTCGTGCATTGCCTATCCACACGGTGAGTTGCTCTGAGCTCCGTGCTCTCCTTTGAACCCATCTGGCCATAACAAGAGCTTCCTGCCATCCTTACACTCATTTTCTGTTTTATTTTCCATAGAGGTTGTTCGGACACGGCTACGTGAGGAGGGATATCGTTATCGCTCTTTTGTGCAAACTGTCCAGCTTGTGGCCAGAGAAGAAGGCCCCTTAGCTCTTTATCGTGGACTTTCAGCTCATCTCCTTCGTCAGATCCCCAATGCTGCAATCGTTATGGTTACCTATGAGCTGATTATTCACTTGGCAACAATAATGTGATACCTTTCTATTCTTGCCAGGTGGCTTAAGCTGTTCAAGGCTTTGAAGGGTATAGTGGCTTAACGGGTACACTTCCCCATTCCATTACAGCACATAAACCCTGTAAGAAAAGCCTAAAAAGTTAGGAGCCTTCTGTAATGGGTGGTTTTGAAGGCTTTATAAGTGAAAGACATGTTCAGCTGCTCTTGGCCTTTACCAGACATATAAAGCCATAGACAAAGGAGCACATACAGATCACAAACCTGGATAGATGTGGAATTTGCTATGTAGAAATGTTTCAAAGAAAACATCTCTAGTGGATGTTTCCAGGGTCCCACAGGCAAAGTGATCAGTATACCCATCGTGCGGTTTGGTGCACTGAAAGTGTTATGCTCTACACTTCCTAGAGCTGGAGCTGATCTGGTCAACTGAGTGTGAAAATAAGAGTTTTTAAGAAAAGCGGTACAAAGACGACTGGGACATTTTATTGGAAGGAGATAAATGATTTGGATCTCAAAATTGAACTCTCCATCTGCACCAGCCAGTGATCAGAACTTTACAGATACAGCAATGTTTCTCTTTTGAGCCTACCAGAGCAGCAAGTTGCTTATCTTCTAAAGCAGGAGTCCCCAGCCCCTGGGCTGCGGCCCGTTCAGAACCGGGCTGCGCAAATGGTGGATGGGAGCCTGCACACATGAAGCTCCATTTGTGGGAGTTGTGAGTGCTCGCCCTCATGTGCGAAGCCCACCACTTGAACCATCCCCTCCCCCCACTGCTGGTCCACCAAGCCAGAAAAGTTGGGGACCACAGCTCTAAATATTGGCGGGGAACTTGTGCCTTCCCACTCCATGTTTTTCTCCATGTTCATAGGAAACATAGCGACATTAAGGACTGCAAAATAATTTTCTTGAGATATCCTGTTCATGGACTACCTTTGTGTTTATCTTCTGGGACTTTGTTTACATTTCTTGATTGGTAGATTTTACCTCCCTAAAAGGAAGGTAAAAAAAAAATCAAGTGGAAAAGAAATACGTTGGCAGCTACTATGCAAAATTCTCCATGTGGGAGAGAGAGCTGTACAACATTGGTGAAGAGAATATCCTGTAATCGGAATCTGGCACATCTTCCAGTTGAAAGTTTGTGCTTGGATTTCTGTCTGTATGAGTTCTTTAAAGATGCAAAAAAAAAAAAAAAATGAATAAAATTGCAGTTTTGAGAGTTTGTTCATACGCACTGTGACGTATTTTAAAACATGAAACCAGGCTTTATGGTAATAAGATGGATTGATTGGGTTCTTATCCCACCACAATTTTGCAACTTTTAGTATTTATAATGAATTAATAAAGAGACTCTCCTTTGACTATTTCAGGGTGCATCCACAGAAGGAAGCTCTGGCCTAGGAATTTCCACTTGTGGAAAATTAGAAGACTAACCTCTTTACCTCAGGTCTTCCAGGGTCCCCCTGAGACTTGGACTGTCCTCCCTATAGGAACCTTTCATTCCTAATAGGTGCTACCCAGTTCTGGAGCAACACATACAGCAGGGATTTTCAAACTATGTTTTCCATTGAACCTTTGGGTTCTGCAAGAACTTGATGCTGTTCCCTAAGAGACTAAAGACAAAGAGAAAAAAGTTTGCTTGAACATCACAAATTTTCTACTCCTAAGGCTTTCTTTCTAGATTGGGTTCTGAGTTTATATTTTGAAAGAGAGAGATACACACACACGTATATAGCTGAATATGTAGTGATTAGAGCAGTGGTTCTCAACCTTTTTAATGCCGTGACCCCCAACCGGTCGTAAGTCGAGGACTACTCAACCGGTCGTAAGTCGGGGACTACTCAACTGGTGCAGCACCGTTTGCAGAATGGGACTTTTGGCAGGCTCAGCAGGGCAGAGACAGCCTGGACAATTCCTATTGGCTTTTGAAAGCCAATAGAATTAGACTCTATTCAAGAGAGTCTATTCTATTGGCTTGCAAAAGCCAATAGAATAAAAGGGAGTAGCACAGCTAAGGAAAAGGGGGAAAAAATGGCGGACTGCATTGTTTGGCGACCCCCGTGAAATGGTCATTCGACCCCAAATGGGGTCCCGACCCACAGGTTGAGAACCACTGGATTAGAGTGAGTTGCCTGTGATGTGGGAGACGGGTTCAAATTCCGGCTAATACCTGCCTTACTAGTAGGGATTCTTAAGCAAAGACCCGCTAAAACATCACCTGCCTACCTCAAAATGTGAGTAACACGAACTAGGAAAGTTATGCCAGCTCGAACATTGCCTGGATTAACAAAGCCCATGTCAGAAGTCGAGGAACCAGGACAATCCGGAAGGGGACTACTGGAGCAAACTACATTGACAAGACTAGAGAACCTGGAACTGATGGAATGCTGGTACAACAGCAGATGTAATGAGAGGGATATATGAAGCGTATGAAGAAACTAGGGATGGACCGAAAACTGAGAAAACTGTTTTTCCATACTGAGAAACAGCTAGTTATCCTATAGTTCAACATAGTGAAGAGGAAGCTGCTATTACAACTTGAGATAGGCCAACTATACATTATATCCCAGGTGCAAGAAAACCCAGAAAAATAACTGGATTTACAGCCACCCCCTGAAGCTGGAAAGCCACTACCAACTTCTCCACTGAGTATGAGAAACTGGAGAATTACCAGGGCCTGAAGAAGGAACGGGAGAGGATGTAGGAAGTCCAGGCCAAAGTGGTCCCAATGATGGTAGGAGCACTTGGGGCTGTGACACCTAAGTTGGGAGAGTGGCTCCAACAGGTCCAAGGAACGATGCCCAAGCTTTCTGCCCAGAAGACTGCAGTGCTGGGAACAGCTAAGATAATGTGCATAACCTTCAAAGATTTCTGGTAGAAGGCCAGAGATTGAGGAAGACACACACCATCCACAAGGGCGAGAAGGGTGGTGTGTGTATACACTATATATAGTATATAATTATATACTTCTGACATGCAAACATAGATGCATCTACACAGTATGTACATACACATATGTATATAAATATTTTGGAATATACACACCACACACATATAAAACACACTTCTGACTTAAGATTACCAGTTTTTTGACCAGTCATATTGCCCAGCTTCCCCAAAACTGTGACTTTGGCCTTTCTTCTGCACATTCTACTGTTCTGCTTGCCAAATAAATTCTGCAATTCACGAGACTTTAGGCCGAGGAGACTTCTGAAGTGGTCAACTGTGAACAAAGCTCTGCTGACTTGAATACCTTTGCCCTCTTTTTGCTGCACCAGATAGGAGCATTTGCAAGACAACAAAGCTTGTTTCTGAAGAAAGAGGCTCCAAAATCCAGAGTATACATTTTTAAAATCCTTTTTTATTTTAAAATGTGTTCCATTCCCTTTTCCATATCGTATTTCCTTCACTTGCTTGAATATTATTGACAATTTTACAAAGCGACACAAGCTGCAGGGGTGTTTTTTTGTTTGTTTCTTTGCATCAAACAATCTCAAACAACAACATTGAAAAAATATACAATATTATATATATATAGTATTTTGGGAATTCTGATGTACCCCATGAGTTGTCCCTCCTTGCTCCTTTCTCATTTCTCTCTACTTACGTAGCATGCCAATTCATTTTATCCTCCTCAAGTGTGGTGGCGATCCTAAACTGGGAATTGAGTCAGGGGGCCCGGCCCCACCAGTTCAAGCAAAAAGCTTGCAAGTTGAGAGGAACTAGGAATCTTGGAAGAGAGAAGGGCTCTTCTTCTGAGCCCTGCTGTTGGGTTGTTTTTAATGAGGATCAAAATGGATACATTTTGGGCCCAGGGAAGCACTAACCTCAAGAGGCAGACCAGAACTAGAGCAAAATTAATGGCTAAGATAGGATAAAATATACAGTAATGCTCTCGCAGAGCTCCCAATTGTTTCCATGAGCTTTGGCTAAGGAACTTCCTTGAAGATTGACCCTCCCCCCCATGGTAATTTAGAGAGAGAAGATACCAATTAGGTCTTTTGCCTCATGCACCAAAACTGTCCTCGCCAGTCCATTGTGTAAACAATGGAGAAAACAGAAGGAAGGGGAGGGGGTAAAATGTAAATAGAGAAAATGTGTAGAAACAGGCCATATCCCCAATTATTAAATATAAGCATGACCTTTTGGTGGTGGTCTGCTTTTGCCCTGTCCATTATATCCCTCTAGTAGCGACAAGAGGCTTCATGCTTGCCCACCACGCGCCGCTCATCAATGGCGTTGCTGGTTAGGCTGTCAGGTGATTCAGAATCGCTGCTGTCTTCCTCTTCGGCTGCTTCCCTGGCTTTGGATTCATCGGCCTCTGCTACTCTCTCCTGGCAGCTCTGGTATGACTGCGGAAAAGAAAGGATGCAGGGACTGATCCAAGTTAAACATGGCCTCTTCCCGCCCGTCCATCCCTTGTTTCGCTCACCTCCATGGGGTTGACAATAATGGTGAGAGCAGAATCATCCCAGAACATCTCGTTCTCCTTGGCCCTGGCACTCCCCTGGCTTCCTGCAGACTCCCCAGAGCCCTCCCGTTCACTCCCTCGCCCGTGCAAGGAATGGATGCGCAGCACGCCTAGGATTACCATCAGTGCAAGGAAGCCCACGCACACCACAATGATTATAGTGGCAGCACTAGGAACCACTGCAGAATAGAAAAGAGAAGAGAGGTAGAGCCCAAATCAGCTGGGAAATAATGTTTGGTGGGCCCTTTTGAGGGGGAGGGTCATATAAAATGCATAAACAACTTTTTGCAAGAAGCAAAGATCTACAAGAGAATGGAAAATGTAAGAGAGATGGAGTGAATATACAAAAAGGATCCCTAAATTGGTGGTAGGTACAAAGGATTGACCACTGTATTACAGTCAGATATTTTGGAAAGCAAGGAAAATATTACTAACAAAAATTGAAATAGCAGTAGAACTGTTTAAAACCTTTCAAGAGGGCGCAGTTGCTTGTGCCTCTAAACAGTAAAGGAGTCTCTGCAGATTTTACTCCACCAGTTGACTATAGGGGACGGTGCTCATCTCCATTTCAAGGGCCACTGAACCAGTGCTGACTGAAGGCGTTTCTGTGGTCATGTGGCTAGCACATCACGGAGCACTGTTACCTTCCCACCGATGGTGGTACCTATTTATCTACTCACATTTGCATGCTTTCAAACTGCTAGGTTAGCAGGAGCTGGGGTGGGGATGGGAGCTCAACCCATCACACGACTCGGGTCTCAAACTTGGGCTGCCAGCTTTCCAGCTGATGAGCCCAGCAACCACTGAGCCTTCGCACCACCCTCTGTGCCTGTTAAGCAGGTGTGGAAAAAATAGTGGGCAAGGGAGGGACCCATTTTCCTTCTCCCCATTTTACTTAAAGAGCAACTCAGAGGAACATTTGAGGCTAAACCACCCACACAAAATCCAGCTGCCTTCATTTTTCCAAATGGTTACATTTATCTTCACCCAGGTATACAAAAGTCAGGTTACGCTGTCTTCAGAGAGACAGTGACAGGAAGTGATTACAATAATTCTGTAATGGAGAAAATAAATGTAACAAATAAAATTGGGTTTAGTGGTTAAGGTGCCAGGCAACAAAACATTGAGCTCTAGACCCACCTTAGGTATGAAGCTTGCTGGCAGACTTAGGAAGGAGACAATGGCAAACTATTTCCAAAAACCCTTGCCAAGAAAACTGCAGGGACTAGTCCAGGCAGTCACAAATAAAAACTGACTCAAATGCATAATAATAAAAGCTTTTACCTCTCTCTCTTTTGGACATGACCAGGGTCCATCTGAGTTCCTTTCTTTGCTTAATTTTATCAGACCCAAACTGACCCGCCTGCAAGCCCACATATCCAAAGAACATGAGCCTCATGTCCAAGGAATTCCAACATCCCACATTCAATCAGCCTGATAACCTCAACGCTCCCTCTCCTCCCCGTTTCCCAGCCCTGCTGCTGCTCCTGAATGGGCAGTTTTGTCCAACAATAGAAATAACCCCAGGTACAGAGACAAGGACCTGCCTAGCTTCCCTTAAATTGCACAGCAAATTGGATTTTTCTTCCCCTTCTATAAAAATTTTAACTTTCTTGTTGTTTGGGCATCCCTCTTTCTTGTAAGGAACCCAACGATTACTGCAATAAACATGATCCTTTCTCCTGGGCATTGGGTTCTATACCCGTCAAGACAGTTCAAACTTAAGATTATGAAGGGTTATTAA